TAGAACTCCAATATATATTCTTCCACCAACATTATTCTTTGTCTCAAGTTATGAAATTTCATAAAAATTACTTGTCTGTAGTGCTCAGAAGGAACTTACGCTTGAGTTCCTAACACATCTTATTCCATGTTCTGAACTTGTTATGACCTTCCCTTTCTCATTATTGTTTGAGGTTTTCTCACCAGATAGAGGCATGCTTCTTCAATTTAATAATAGCAAGCTTCACACATTTTTCATCAAGAACATCTGTGAGCTCAAAAACTCTTTCCACTATGTAGAGTTAGTCAAGAAAATCATGAAGGTGAAGCCTTCCTTCAAACTCAAGAATGTCTACCTTGATTCCTAAATCTCTATTAGCAGCAATTCTTGGACGATGTAGAGGTACTTCTTTATTAAAAGATGATTCTTGATGGAAAGAATTGGTATTATTCTGTTCATCACTGAAGCTATTATTGTTGATTTGAGTAGCATCACGTCTAGCAAGTTGCTCTTGTAATTCTTGCACTTGGCGACGTAATTCCTCTACCTTGATTTTGTGAGCATCTCCTTACCGATTTTGGCATCTTGATGGCATTTTGTTGGATCAAATAATAAAAACAATTATAACAATGGTGATATTGCGAGGACTTGGTGATGATGATGTGGTGATGCACAGAAAAAAAATGATGACAACTATAAAAAAATAACAAACAAAATTACCCGAACAAGGAGAGTAAAAACCCGACAACAAACCCCAATTACGCAACGACAATGATCTTCCACTCTAATACCAAACTGATGCTGGAGCATTGTGAAGACAACTAGACGTTATGAAATACACCAATTATGGTGAGGTTAGAAACCTCACTAAGGTAAACACCAATCTTGACAAGGTTAGAAAACCCCACTAAGGTGAATAATGACCAAAATCCCATTTTAGTTGCCCAATCCAAAAATATTAAAATCTCTTTCTCTTCTGAAAATAGCCTAGAGATAGTAAACACTCTTGAGAAATAATTCTTTATTAATTCTCAACTTCAATGTCTCTAACAATTAAGCCAAGAAGGCTTTATATAACTATTCCTAAAGAAGAAAGTCTTTTAATTTTCTCATGTGATATTTTTACAATTTCTAAATAAATAAATAAGAAAATAACTTAATCTAAACTTCATTGGAATACAAGTAAAGTAAAAAACAAAAAAACCAAAACCTAACCTAACTTAATGTGTAAATAACCTAAATATTATACTCCTGTATCATAATCTTACACAAATTAATTGGTTATGGATACAAACAAGGTGTAGTCCATACTGAGCTCAGAAGTTGGAACTTGTTTTAATTTCCTATCTCAAAGCCAAGTTATATCAAAACTCAAATTTTGCAAGTTTCTATAGTGAGATTGACTATGTTCTTATCATCAAAAGTAATTTTGTGCAAAAACAATTGCCTTATTGTTCAAAGGTATCAAATATGTTTCCATGGCATCTGCCCAGTGAATCAGATTAATGATTGTACTAGGCAATTTCAAATCTAGTTTTGCTCAGTTTGATATATATATCCAATGTATCATCAACTTCAACTGATGTTAGGTTCACAATCTATTAGGATATCTTCAGTGGGGGAAGTGAGACATCGTCAACAATTATGGACTGGGCAATGTCAGAAATGCTGAAAAATCCAAGGGTGCTAAGAAAGGCACAAGATGAGGTAAGACAGGTCTTTCACGGAAAAGGGGATGTGGATGAAGCAAGCATACATGAATTAAAATACTTGGCATTAGTAATCAAGGAAACCCTGAGGCTACACCCTTCTTCGCTTCTGTTATTTCCAAGAGAAAGCCGAGAGAATTGTGAAATTATGGGACACTAGGTACCGGTCAAGACCAATATCATAATCAACGTGCGGGCAATAGAGAGAGATCCAAAGCATTGGAATGAACCTAAAACATTTTACCCTGAAAGGTTCCTGAATGCTTCCACTGATTTTAAAGGAAACTATTTTGGGTTTATCCCATTTGGCGCAAGAAGAAGGATGTGTCTAGGCATCTTGTTTGCACTCCCTAACATTGAGTTGCCTCTGGCAAAATTGCTTTACCATTTTGACTGGAAGCTTCCTAGTGGAATGAGCCATGAAAATCTAGATATGACTGAGAGCTTTGGTGCGACTGTCAGAAGGAAAGATGATTTAATCTTAATTCCCACCACTCATAGCCATTCATCTGCTGAATGGTAATTCTCTTTGGACTGCATCTTAGTTATAGAAGTAGAGATGTTATTGTCTCAATAAAGCTTGGAGAACATGTGAACAAGACTGCAAGCAGAACATGTTCTAGGTGGCAAAACTTTCTGTTCTGACAGATCTGTGAATATTGTTGTATCTATTTCTTTGGACGGAATTGATAGACTAGTAACATGTTTTAGTTAATAGAACTACTGTTTTACTAACAATTTTTTTTCCTCAAATTTTCTTTTCTTTGATCATTCATCATGAAGCTCTTTTTATTTCAAAAAGGTTAATTAATTTTTTTTACGTTAAAAAAAAAACATTTTGACTCTAGTAGATAACAAGAAGAAGAAATAATAACAATATGTGTACGTGCACACACATGTATTTGTATATCAAGAACATACACCGTTTGACACTTCGATCACGAGAATTTAAAAGTAATTTTGAAAGATATAAGGCATGATCATAAAACTCATAAAAGATGAGTAAATGTCTAAGATTTTACTTTTATAACAGAAACATGACTATACTTTGCGTATGCGAATTTGCGTATGGGACATCTTTTCCATGTGGCGGGGGTTGTGGAGCAAAGTATACCCCATGGAACCAAAAGGTTCACGTGGAGTTCGAACTAGGCCAAATAATTTAGCAGACAGTAGCGAAGGTTTGACATGTGACATACGACACCAACCAAATGAATTCGAATCTTACTTTTTAGGTATGAAGATTATGTATCAACCAAAGTTAAATGCTCAATTGCGAGTTGTTGAAAATATTTATGATGGGAAATTTCCTTTTTATGATTTGAGATAGAAACAAAAGAGTTTATATTTCGGCTCTTTATGACTAAAGGATATATACATTTATTATGTGATAAAATGTTTGAATATCATATAATAGAATATTAAACAATGTGTGGTGAGAGATTGAAAGTCCAACTTAATATATCATTGCAATAATGTGTAACACGTATATTTTAATTTAATTTTTTTCATAATCTAATTCATGAATCTCGTGACAATGCTACTATTTACGGTCATGCGTAAGGATCAAGAAATTTTTGTTTCTTTGTTGGGGAAATTGTCAAAGAAAGGAGAGAATTTGAATTTCTAAACCTCATCAATTTCTTCAAGAAATTTAATAGTAACTCTTAGCTAGACCAAGTCTTAATTGTTTAAATCGATAAATCAATTGGTAATAAATGAACATTAATTCAATTATAATATAATTTCGTGATGGTAAATTTGAAAATAATGAAATAAGAAAATACACGTAGGTTGCAAGGAAATTGGTTTTCGACCACACGCACAACATGCTATCCCCTGTTGTGTACTCAGACCAGACATGTTAAAGATCAATGTGGGGGCTCTTGCACTATATTCACAGACAGGACACTTAATCTTCGTTTTTTTTTTCTTTTTTTGTCTTTTTTTTAATGTAGAAAGAAAATGACACAACAACTACCAATCTCTTGCATAATTCGCTTGGAAATGACAAATTAGCCTTGTTTCTTTGACAAATTTGGGGGTGAGATGAACAAAAACACATTGGTAGAGGTAAAATCAATTTTCTTAACGCGTGAATCGTCTTGCACTATATTCACAGACAGGACACTTAATCTTCGTTTTTTTTTTCTTTTTTTGTCTTTTTTTTTTAATGTAGAAAGAAAATGACACAACAACTACCAATCTCTTGCATAATTCGCTTGGAAATGACAAATGAGCCTTGTTTCGTTGACAAATTTGGGGGTGAGATGAACAAAAACACATTGGTAGGGGTAAAGTCAATTTTCTTAACGCGTGAATCGGCACTTATTTTGTACTTATTTCTGTTCAATTCATGATTAGGAAATTAGTAGTTTTTTTTCTGTTTATCATTTGTAATTTCAATTTTTTTTACATGACAGCTTATAATTTTTTCTCAATTATAAGAGCTTAATACATTTGTTTTGTCTAATAAAATTATCAAAATACCTTCAATTCAAACAATCTAATCTCTTGTGAAAATAGAAGTCATTCATAAACTACTAATTAAAATAAGAAACCAAACTTATCGTATAGGAAAAGTTGAAATCACCCAATATGAAAATAAATTTTAATCGTTGATTTTCTTTTATACAGATTCAATTATTTTGATGCCTCCACTTATCATAACTCATCTTGTATTTTTTTTTTTTTTGAAAATTAGAAGAGTTCATTCCGGAGAGGGTAATTCATATACAAACACTGAGAGTAAAACTGATGAGAACATCAGATCTTGTGCAAATTATTTATTTCAAGAAAATTTTGCAGCCCAAGATCTAACGAATTAATAGTACTAAGCACCACTTTTTCAACCCACCAAATTAGTTCTATCAATAATTATGAACGCTCTCTACAATTTCTTCCGTGCAATATTTCTTCTTCTTAGTACTTTTCGACTTTGAAATCTCGCTGGTAACTTAAAAATTGCAAGCAATAGATCTAATTAGAGTTTTGTGGTGTAGAATAAATATAAACACTTGTGAAACATATGAAGAGGAGATAAAGGTCGACATCAAATCCTTAGTTTTGATTATGATTGAACATATATCATACGTCCATATTACCCCAACATAGAGAGCCAATTTAATTTGGATTTGATCCTTAATTTGCATTATTAATTTGCTTGTCAAATTCAAGAGTTAGAAAATCCTACTCGCATGCTTTGATGATTGGTTCTACATCTGTACACTTGTTGGTGTGAAACTATTGACTAAGATCAGTAGTTTTTCCATGGAGGAGAACAAAATGACGGCCATGTATATATACTTGCATAATTCTCTCGTATTCTTGCTTATCACAAAGCTGTATCCTCACCATTTCAATACAAAAAATGGAGCTTGAGTTTCCTCCATTCTCCATCCTCCTCACCACCCTCCTCTTCCTATCCATGATTGCTAGAGTGGGCAAGGCTTTGAAAGATAAGAAGCCATCCCAAAGGCTGCCTCCAGGGCCATGGAAACTACCCTTCATAGGAAATATTCACCAGCTTGGTGGCTCACTACCCCATTGCACGTTAAGAAACCTGTCACTCAAGCATGGCCCCTTAATGCACCTACAGCTTGGAGCAGTCTCCACAGTTGTTATATCGTCACCTGAATTTGCTAAGGAAGCAATGAGGAAAAACGATGTTACTTTTGCTTCCAGGCCATATCAGCTTGCTCCCGGGATCATATCTTATGATTGTACAAACATTGTCTTCTCCCCTTATGGCAGTTACTGGAAGCAGCTTCGAAAGATTTGTGTGATGGAACTCTTGAGTTCACAACGGGTGAAATCATTCAAAAGAGTTAGAGAAGAAATAGTTTCCAGTCTAATCAAGATCATGTCTTCAAGCCCAAGTACACCAATCAATCTTAGTGAAAAGATTTTTTCGTTGACATATGGCATAACGGCAAAAGTGGCCTTTGGTTCAAAATGCAAAGGACAGGAAACATTCGTATCTATCATCACTGAAGTTAATAAGCTGGCAACAGGCCTCACCCTTGCAGATTTTTACCCTTCAGTTAAAGCACTTCAGATGATCAGTGGAATCAGGCCAAAGCTCGAGAAGCTACACCGAGAAGCTGATGGAATACTTGAAAATGTCATTGCTGAGCATAAAAAGAGGCTTGGAAAAGAAAATGGCAGCGGTGGAGACGACAAAGACATAGTTGATATACTTTTAGACCTTCAAGAGAACGGCAACCTTGACTTCCCCCTATCTGCCAACAACATCAAATCAGTCATACTGGTATATAACTATTTCTTGTCTTTTTTGTTATTTCAAGCTTCAGCAATTAATACAATAACTATTCGTTTGGCACCATAACTAAAAATTCAATATCCACTTTCAGGACATATTTGCTGCAGGAAGTGAAACATCATCAACAATTGTTGAATGGGCGATGTCAGAACTGCTGAAGAATCCAAGATCAATGGAAAAGGCTAAAGCTGAGGTGAGAGATGTCTTTAAAGGCAAAGGATATGTGGATGAAGAAAGCTTTCATGAACTTAAGTTCCTCAAATCAGTTCTTAAGGAAACATTAAGGCTGCACAATCCTGTGCCTTTGATACCAAGGGAATGCCGTGAGAACTGTAAGCTTGGTGGATATGAGATACCTGTGAAGACTAAAGTCCTGATCAATTCATGGGCAATTACAAGGGATCCTAGACACTGGAGTGAACCCGATAAATTTAATCCTGAAAGGTTCCTCAATAGCTCACTTGACTATAAAGGAACAGATTTCCAATATATTCCATTTGGTGCAGGAAGGAGGATATGTCCAGGCATATCATTTGCCCTTGCTAATATTGAAATGCAACTTGCCCAATTCTTGTACCATTTTGATTGGAAGCTCCCCAATGGAATGAAGTATGAAGAACTCGACATGACAGATGCACCTGGTTTAACAATAAGGAGGAAACACGACCTGTTTGCGATTCCAATTCCTTATCATCCTTTTCCCTCTTGAATAAAACAAAGTATCAGATGTTCATTTGGCTAAAATTTGTTTAAGCCATTGTGATATATTGTTCTAGTACTACTAAGGTCTTTGTTCTGTTAAATTATGGCATAGTCTATAAGGGTTAAAGCTTGGTTGTTGTATGGTAAACCGTAATGAATTAAGGCTTATGTCTTGCAAAGTAAAGAGCTCTTCTGTTGTTTGGAATGCAAGAATATAACATGGGAAAGGAGAAACTGACAAAAGCAAATGCAGACATTGTTTAGTTCGCCAAGTTTGGCTGTTAGAGTCAAAAAAGGTTGCTCTCTAAGCCTCGCTATCAAGGTCCTAGACTGAATCCCCACAAAAAAACAAGTTTGTCTTTAATTACTTGGTGTAAGAAAACAAACAAAAATTCAAGCTATGAATTCTTTATTTTATTTGAAGCAAAGCTAAAATGAAGAAGCATCAAGAACACAAATAAATAAAGAACTATCATGGCAATGACATCTGTTATTGGTCACAATGAAAAGTAATGCAAGTACTCTCCTTCTTTCCTCATCATTTAAGCTGTTCAAAGATTGATACCCACTACTTAAATCTTATTCAAAGGGTCCTGCATACATATTTATAAAGATATAGTTGATAGATTAATATTATTCTTGACAATAATTAAGATTAAATCGCATGTCTTAAGAGGCCAGGAATGTGAATGTTCATCATGTAATCCTCCCAATCAATACTCTTGGAATCGAAGTCAAATGCACCCATATCAATGCCTCTCCCTTGAGCCACCATTCGCAACTTGTCTAAGTTTGTGTCACTAAAGCTGTATAGGGAGAAAAGAACATTTAAAACAATTTAATTAGAGATTAAAACAATTAAATTGTTAAGCCAAATGCAAGAATTTTGAAGTAATTAATGAACCATATACATACTTACTTGCCCTTAAAGAACACATAAGGTTTGTAAAATTCTGCCAACCGCATTGCAAACCTGATTTTGCGATTAAGGTCCGTGTAAACTTGCCTAAAATACTGGCAACTAAGGATGTTCACCAAATACAACACCTTTACAAATTAGAAACATAAAAAAGAAATTATAATAAGATATGGGAATTTCTTAATAAATTATTTTAAAAAATTTAAATAAATATTTATTTTTTCTATTACGTTTAATCAAGTCGTTATACTTTTATTTTGAGTCAAATAGATTCCTATAGTTAAGAGGTAACTAATTACCTTTAATCAAAACGTCACACGTTGTTTTAAGCCACATGATGATGACATGAAAAATACCCCATTATCATGCCATCATATTATATTAAAATGTTACGTCACTATTTGTTATGACATTTCAGCATGTCTGTGATGTTAACATCATGTAACATAAAATTACATCAAACGTTTTAATTAATGATAATTAGTTAACCATTAGTTCTAAAAACTTATTTGATTCAAAATAAAAATTTAAGTGTTTGATTGAATGCAATAAAAGTATAATAATTTATTTGATTTTTTCTGAATAGTTCAAAGACACTTTAGATAATATGCCAAAATAAAAATTAAGATTGTGACAAACCTTTAATAGGAACGCATATTTAACCCACATGTATAGAAAAATTCCATTGACTGTGCTCAAGAGTGTTGCTTTACGAGCTTTAACTCTTTGTCTGTTTTATTAGTCCATGGATTTTCAGTGAAATAACAATATAAAAATTTTCAGTGAACATTAACATGTTATTTTAATATGTCATGTCACTATCTGTTATGTCATATCAGCATACTCTATCAACACTATATGATATAAAATGATATGTAACGTTTTATATCATGACGGGTAATTAACCATCAGTTTTATGGACATATTTGGCCTGAAACAAAAGCATAATAGTTTGAATGAATGCAATTAGAAAGAAAATAATTGATTTGAATTTTTTGAATAGTTCAAAGCCCCTTTAAATATTATGTCAAAATAAAAATTAAGAATGTAACAAACCTTCAATGGAAACAGATATTTAGTCCACATGTATAGAAAATATCCATTGATTGTGCCCAACACTGTGAGTTTACGAACTTTAACTCTTTGTCCGTGTCTATTAGACCATGGGTTTTTAGTGAAATAACGGTATGCAAATATTGCAAGATCCTCGATTTTTATAGGATTTTTCAATGAGGAGCTAACATGGTAAATGATCTGACAAGATTGATGATTTGTGTGAACTGCCATGGCCACGACCATTGCATTTACCACCATGTCTGCCGGTATCTGCATAAATTTTGAAATTCACGTTTTTCACTTGCAATTAGACCCAGCTATAGGAAGAAAATGGTTTATGTTATCCAGAGATTAAAAGAACTCACCACATCAAGGACAGAGTTAGGATAGCCAGGAAAACATGTTAATTTCCCCTTGCCATAACTCACAATGACGCTATCTATAGTTCTGTAGTAAAAAAAATTAATTAGTTATTATTCTATATATACACAGTCAATAAATTGCATTAATGAAATATAATCAAATATCATAAAAATTTGAAGTTGCAATTTGGCCATGGTAATTACCTCACACATTCAATCCAGCCAGAGAAGGGTTCTTTATAAGTGCTTCCAATCATGGTAGGGCGGATAATGACGAGAGGCAAATCTCCTTTGAAGTTCCCTAAAAGTATCTCTCCCATTGCCTTTGTAAACACATATGTGTTAGGCCACCCATACAGTTTTGCCCTGTATTCATAACAAACAAGGTTTATCATCGTTTTCTTTTTACCTTTTTTTTTTTTTTTACTTTAAGAAACCGTTCACCGTTGAAGGTGAGAGAGGAACCTTTGGAGACCCAATTCCATCTTTTCTGATTTTATTACTTCGTCTGGGGCATGTTGGAATGGCAACTCATCTAATTTTTCCTCTACAATTCTCTTCTCTTCTGTAATGTCTAATTTACATGTTTTCAACAGTGTGTCATCCACGGAAAAAGGTTTCTCTAATATGATTCCTGCTTGTTCACCGCACACGTAGGCTAAAAGAAAATTATGATCAAAAAGCACGATTGTCAATCTTAATTCATCTCTGATATATGTACTGAGTGTACTAAAATTTAACTATGTATATAGCTAATTTCAATTGCTAATTAATCAAGAACTATCAGTTTCATATTCACCAGTTGATGTGTGGAGAAACAGCTTCATCTTATCGCATTTCTTTGCAAACCTCAAAACGTTGAGAGCTCCAAACGTATTGATGGCCAATGCAACATCATACCTTGAAAAATAAGAGGAAAGAAGAAAAGAAAAGCGAGGAATTATTGGCAAAATTATGTTCTTAAAACATACTCCTACAATTCAAATATGAGGATTCTAAATTACCTTTCATTGAATCCTGTTGTGGCAGCAACATGTACTACAATTTCTATTTCTTTCAACATTTGTTCACTTAATTTTGATTCATTCACCCCCAGGTTTTCAGAAGAGATATCGTCAGGCACTGCTATCACCTTACTTGATATAAAGAAATCAAATTCTGAACCCCAATTGTCTCGAAGAATCTTAAACAATTCTGTATCTATGATCTACATAAAAATTAAGACGTGTAAGTTTTTTTTTTTTTTTTGGTTTTTGTGAATTTGAAAATTGAATTTTATATCGCGTGTAACAAATTAGATCATAATAAGAATTTTAATTTTAAATTTAGTATGAATTATATGATAGAACGGCAGTAATTACGAATATGACTTTTATGATTATCGTAAAATTGTTTGAATTATGGAACTTAAAATTCACTATATACCTCACTATGCAAGCGTTTCGTGGCAGATTGAGCATCTGCAGCCCTCAAAAGAAGATAGAGCTTATTCACATTTGGCTGAATCCTTAAAATCTTCTCGACAAAGACTGAAACCGGAGTTGAGAATAAAATCATTAAGTAAAACGAAAATGACTAATTATATTGTGTCTTAAATGAAATCATCATCCTTGGCTTTGTAAGAGAGAGAGAGAGAGTACTCTTTGCCAAAAATCCAGTTGCACCAGTGACTAAAATAGTTTTGCCTTGAAGAAACTTGACAACATGATCCAACTCCATATTCATGTCTGAGAACCCAAAAAGAAATCAAATTAAAGAAGTAATTTTTTTGTAATATTTATTGACATAAAATTCAATATTTGATAGAAGAAAAGATAAGATAAATATATCCTTCCCAACATGTAAATTGCACTGTTTAATGATAATTTGGAAGTGTTGAAAATAATATTAATTAAAGTTGAAAAAGAATATAACATGTGACATCACCTTGATTTTGGAATTTCTTGTCCCCTGTTTTCGTTTTTTGCTTTGCCCGTTCTTCCTCTTCTTCTGAGTTCTAAGAGGTATTTATAGGAGAGAACCAGAGCTGTCGATGGTAATGGAAAACCCCCATTTTGGTGCCCTTAGGTCAAAGCTTTTGAGCAATGAACGAAGTTATGGCAACTGAGGGTACAATTTCATGTGTAGCCTTTCCTCTCTGATCTCTCTTTCTCTCTATTGAGTACTTCAATCCCAAGGTTTAATTTCTACCTAATTTAGGGGCATGCTAGAGGGAAGCTTGAGCCAACAGAATGTGGAGGAGTGTTAAGGGATTCTAATGGGTATGTTATTCCTGTTTTCTTTAAACTCTTGGTGTCCAAGGCTCAAATTATGCTGAACTGATGGCTATTAAAAAGGCAATTCAATTATTTGTTCCTTCTTCGTGAGTTGGAACAAAATGATTTTACATCGAACAAGACTCTAAGGTAGCTCTTTTTGGGGCTTTTGTAATGACATTTTTAATAAGATTGATAGTTTGAGAAATTGTATTGGAGATATTATATTTGTACACACATTCTCCTTTAATGGGCTGTGCAGGTCTGGGGATTGCCACGAGTGGAAGGTCTTAAAGTACATTCTCCTTCTCATGATGGTGTAGGGAAGGGTTGGGTTAAGAGACGAGGAGGATGCTTTTTCTTGCTTTTGGTTTTCCGCAACATGCTATTCCTGTTTTGGACCACCTGTGCATGTTTGGTGTGGGTTGATCTGCTAGATCTTTCGTGGAGGCTTGTGTTGCTTTTGTGCATGGTGTGTTATGCTCTGAATTGAAACTTTTGGTTTGTAAAAAATAAAAAAGAAAAAAAAACAAAAACAAAAATAACAAATCATCAATTGTTCTGGAACTCATAATCATCCTATGGTTTTGTTTTTCAACATTTGTTCTTGTTGTCTCTGTCTCGAAGGTTCTGCTTCAATGGGCAGAAGACGGTTCTTTGGGATCCTCGGTGGAAGGTTGCTCTAAGGAGGTGGATGGATGGAATTCGTAGGAAGTGGAGGTGGGGGGTAGCAGGCAGGGGGTTTTGACTCGAATGTCGCTGCGATGGTGTGGGGGGTGGGGGAGGCCTGAAGTGTGAGGAGTGCTCTGCTGGATGTCCTGCTGCTTGTAAGAGGGGGTTGGACGGGGGGAAAGGCTCTGTGGTACCTTCTGCCTTGCCGCAGGCCGGGTGCATGCGTGGTGCTACCGTCTTTTCTGTTGATGGGATCCTTTGGAGATTGATGCCAAAAAAGTCTAGCAAATAACTAAAGACTTTAAATGGCACGACGGTTTAATGCTAATAAAAGCACTTTTCAAAAAAAACTGATACTTTTCTTTCTACCCTTAAATTTTCTTTTCCTTTCTCTTTGTAAGTTAAACAAATAAGACAATTTTATTTTATTCACAAGTTAACGTAAGATTGATTAATTACTAAGAAGCTAGTCAAACGAAATAATTAATGTTAGGTTTGGCCATTTATTCCGTGACAAAATGATAGGTTAACGTAGTGGAAAACCCCCCCATTTTGGTGCCCTTAGGCCACTGGTTTTGAGCAATGAATAAAGTTATGTCAACCGATGGTCTTATTTCATGTATGGCCTTTCTTTTCTGAAATTGGGTACTTCAATGCGAACATAAAGTTAGGTTTAATTTCTACCTAATTTAGGGGCAAGCTAGAGGGAAGCCCGAGCCAGCAGAATGTGGAGGTGGATTCCAATGGGTATATTAAGCAAGTGCAGACATTGTTCAGTTAGTCAAGTTTGGCTCTCAGAGTAAACAAGCATGCTCTCTAGCAATCCCTATAGAGGTCTTAGAGGAATCCCCTCAAAAAAATATTGTCTTTCATTACTTGGAGTAAGAAAACAAACAAAAATTCAGACTGTGAATTCTTTATTTTATTTTGAAGCAAAGATAATGAAGAAGTATCAAGTACACAAATAAACAAAGAACTATCAAGGCAATAATATCTGATATTGGTCACAATGAAACGTAATGCAAGCACTCCTCCTTCTTTCCTCATCATATGTTAAGCTGTTTAAAGCTTGATGCGTACCCTCTACTTAAATCCTATTGAAATAATTTTATTATTTTGACAATAATTAAGATTTAATCGCATGTCTTAAGAGGCCAGGAATGTGAATGTTCATCATGTCTTAAGAGAAGTTCTAATAAAAAATACAAGACATAATGTTTTAAGAAACACTTAAATTATTCAAAAAAATTTAAATGAACTTTTATTTTTTTATTACGTTCAATTAAGTCTCTGTATTTTTCTTTTGAATCAAATATATCCTTAACTGCCATTAATCAAAACATCACATGTTATTTTATGTCACGTGATGCTAACGTGGCGTTGAGATAGAAAGTGAAAATTATCACGTGACTATACCATCATGTCATATTAGTATATCATGTCACTATTTGTTATGACATGTTAATATACCATGTCAACATTACGTGATATAAAATGATATGTAATATTTTTTTTTTGAAATGTGAGATATGTAATGTTTTAACTAATAACAGTTAATTAGCCATTAGTTTCATGAATTTATTTAGTTCAAAACAAAAGTATAACAGTTTTAATAAATGCAATAAAAACATAAAAATTGATTTGAATATTTCTAAATAGTTCAGAGTCCTTTTAGATATGATGTCAAAATAAAAATTAAGACTGTAGCAAACCTTCAATGGAAACACATATTTAGTCCACATGTAGAGAAAATATCCATTGATTGTGGTCAACACTGTGAGTTTACAAACTTTAACTTTTTGTTCGTTTCTATCAGACCATGGGTTTTCAGTGAAATAATGATATACAAATTTGCAAAGATCCCCGAGTTTTATAGGATTGTTCAATGAGGAGCTAACATGGTAAATGGTTTGACCAGATTAATGATTTATGTGAACTACCATGGCCACGTGTCATAAGGAAAGTGTTTCTATCTCACATCGGACAGGAACGGGAGATCTTAGACTCTTTATAAGCAGGTGTGCTGCACACCGTCATAAACGCGTTTATAAGGGAGAGAATAATGACCCCGTGACACACAACCATTGCATTTACCATCGTGTCTGCCGGCATCTGCATAAATTTTGAAATTCACGTTTTTCACTTGCAATTAGACCCAGCTATATATAGGGAGAAAATGGTATATGTTTTCTAGAGATTAAATATTCTCACCAAATCGAGGGCAGAGTTACGATAGCGAGGAAAACATGTTAATTTCCCGTCGCCATAACTCACAATGACGCTATCTATAGTTCTGTAGTACCATAAAAATTAATGAGTCATTATTCTATATATATGACGTTAATGGAAGCAATAAATTGCATTAATGAAATATATTAATAATTTTAAATCAAATATGATAAAAATTTTGAAGTTGCAATTTGGTCATGGTAATTACCTCCCACCTTCAATCCAGCCACGGAAGGGTTCTTTATAAGTGCTTGTTGCAATCATGGTGGGGCGGATAATGACGAGAGGCAAATCTCCTTTGAAGTTCCCTAAAAGCATGTCTCCCATTGCCTTTGTAAACACATATGTGTTAGGCCACCCATGCAAGTTTGCCCTGTATTCATAAGAACCAAGGTTTACCATTATTTTCTTTTTCTTTTCTTTTTTTCTTAAATAAGATATCATCCACACAATTCAAGGTGAAGTGGAAATGATGAGAGTGTGGGAGAAACCTTTTGAGGCCGAATTCCTTCATTCCTGATTTTATTTCTTCGTTTGGGGCATGTTGGAATCGCAGTTCATCTAATTTTTCCTCTACAATTCTCTTTTCTTTAGTAATGTCTAATTTACATGTTTTCGACAAAGTGTCATCCACAGAAAATGGTTTTTCTAATATAATTCCTGCTTGTTCACCGCACATGTAGGCTAAAAGAAAATTATAATAAAAAAGGCATGATTGTCAATCTTAATTTATCTCCAATATATGTTCTGAATGCACTAAAATTTAGCTATGTATATAACTAATATCAACTACTAATTAATGAAGAACGGTCAATTAATTTCATATTCACCAGTTGATGTGTGGAGAAACAGCTTCATCTTATCGCATTTCTTTGCAAACCTCAAAACGTTGAGAGCTCCAAACGTATTGATGGCCAATGCAACCTCATACCTTGAAAAATAAGAGGAAAGAAGAAAGGAAAGGTGGCAGCAGTTGGAAAAATTATAGGCAAAATTATGTTCTTAAGACCTACTCCTATTATTTGAATACGAGGATTCTAAATTACCTTTCATTGAATCCTGTTCTGGCAGCAACATGTACTACAATTTCTATTTCTTTCAACATATGTTCTCTTAATTTCGATTCATTTAGCCCGAAGTTTTCAGATGAGATATCGCCTGACACTGCTATCACCTTGGTTGATATAAAGAGACCAAATTCTGAACCCCAACTGTCTCGAAGATTCTTAAACAATTCCGTGTTTATGATCTACATAAAAATTAATACACGTAACTATTTTTTTGTGAATTTGAAATTAAATTTTATATTACATGTAATAAATTATATTCAAAAAAAGAATTTTAATGTCAATTTTAGTATAAATCATATGATAGAATGGTAGTGATTACGAACATAACTTTCATGATTATCGTCCAATTGCCTGAATTTGTTAATGAAGTATGGAACTTAAAATTCATTAGATACCTCACTATGCAACCGTTTTGTGGCAGAATTAGCATCTGCAGCCGTACAAAGAAGATAGAGCTTATGCACATTCGGTTGAAGCCTTAATATCTTCTCCACAAAGACTGCAACCAGAGTTGAGAATTAAATCATTAAATAAAATTAATATGATTAATTATATTTTATTTTAAATTAAATCACCATCCTTGGCTTAGTAAGAGAAAGAGAGAGTACCCTTTGTCAAAAATCCAGTTGCACCAGTGACTAAAATAGTTTTGGCTTGAAGAAACTTGGCAACATTATCGAACTCCATATCCATGTCTGAGAACCCAAAAAAATTAAAGAAGTAACTTATCTATAGTATATATTGGAATAAAATGGGGTAAAATCCAATAATTTAATAGAAAAAAAAAAAAGATAAGAAAGCAATGTGTAATGATAATTTGAAAGTATTGAAAATAAAATTATTAAAGTCGAAAAATAATCTAACATGTGGACATCACCTACCTTGATTGTGGAATTTCTTTTCCCTTTTTCCCACCTATTTTTCCTTCTTCTTTTAGCTGTTTTTTCTCATCTTCTCTATGTGACTTTTAAGAGGTATTTATAAGGGATAAGAAAAGCTGTGCATGGTAGTGGAAAATCCCCCAATTTTGGTACCCTCAGGCCACTGCTTTTGAGCAATGGATGAAGTAACTATGGCAACCTTGGTCCTTGTTTCACGTGTGATATCACATCCCATGTTTGAATGTGAATGCAATTATTAACACTTTCATAAATATTTAAGTTAATCGATTTTAGTTATTAATGGAGTTTAAACTTTTAAAAATCACATAATTTAAATTTAAAAGATTATTCGACCAATAATATTTAGATCAAGATCGTTACACTATGTGATTTGGTTTAAACACATTGACTATAGCCAATTGAGGCGAGAAGTTGAAAGCAGGATAATTACCACAAATGAGGAAGATAAAAGAGAGATTTTTTACCCCATAAGTTCCTCAACATCCTGCAAGTAACAATAATTCAAAGGGAAACAATCAATCCATCTATTTAAAACATGTTGATTTCATGTATTCGTTCTTAGTTAAACATCAGTGACATGATAAAGAGATATATTACTAAATTGCTATCCTCCACGTATTCCACAAGCTGAGTGTCTTCTTAAGGTTGAGATATGCTAACAGTTAGATGTGCAGTTGTCACAGATAGTAAAAATGAGAAAAAGAGTACCTAAAAACAATTTGTATGAAGTTACCATCTTACTTTTCTCAGTCCATAAAGATAGTTTAAAGCTTATACAAGTAATTGCACATAAATAGTAGAGATGAATTTTAGATGCCTACCTTTATAATTTGAGAGATCAACCCAAGTAAGAGATGAGGCTACAATAAAAATAATCAAGATGAAAACCATCACATTATTAGAATATTTAATCCTAACTCGCATAGGTAACTGTTTAGCTGTAGTAACCCTTCCTTCAACCAAGTCTTGTGTGCCAATCTTTACATAACACCTAACCCAAGATATGAGGCTGCAATAAAAATAATCAAGATGAAAACCATCATATTATCAAAATATTTCGTCCTAACTCACATAGGAAACTATTTAGTTGTACTAACCCTTCCTTCAACCAAGTCCTATGTGCCAAAGTTTACCAAACACTTTTGAAGCAGAACAAGATGCAACAGATGCCTTGCCTATATGGTTATGAAGGTTTGCAATTAAGTTATGAGAATAATTGAATCATTTATTTTAGATTATCTTCTAAAGTAGGTTTTTAAGCACCCATGAAATAGTGCCACCTCGTATTTTTTGAAAGATATGTAATTAGTTTATCTATACTGACTAACTTAATTAACTTACCTTAATGAAGATTAAAATGAATAATCAACTTATATCATCAATAATTGCTTCACTGCTCCAACCTTACTCTGGCTTTCACCACCACTTTTCATTATCACTCCCATGCACATCAAATTCCTTGACTTAGAGCTGAGTCAATTTTAGGGGCTTTGTGTTCTAGATAAAGCCACCGGTGAGGATGAATATATGATAGGACTTACATGTCTTAAAAAATATCAAGTGGCATGATTTTAATGGGCACCTAAAAATCGACTTTATATGATCCTTATATAAGAGCAGGCGGTTCTAAATCAACTCTTATACAAACACTTTTCCGGATTGTTGAACCTGCAGAAGGCCAGATTATAATTGATGGTGTCAATATCTCATCAATTGGACAGCATGATTTGCGGTCAAGACGCAGCATCATTCCTCAGGATCCTACTACGTTTGGAGGGACTGTATGGAACAACTTGGATCCTCTTGAAGAGTACACAGAGGAACAGATTTGGGAGGTGGGTTCATTTCATTTTGATTAGGAGAGAGGAGAATTTCCAGTCTGTGCTATTTCTTTTGTAATAAGATGCATCTTTTATGATTGGAATTTGAAGTCTGATATGTATTAAGTGTCAACCTGGGGATGAAGTTAGAAAAAAGGATGGAAGGCTAGATTTCACAGATCTTGTTTTCTGTGATATAACGTAAAACTTGTTCAAAGTTTCCTAAGTTCCAATATTGAAAGAATTCTTTATTTCATTATGACACTGGTGCTGAAGTTAGCGAGAATGGAGAGAATTGGAGCATGGGTGAGAGGCAGCTGGTCTGTCTTGGGCTAGTGTACTCAAGAGAAGTAAGATCTTAGTGCTTGATGAAGCTACGGTATCCGTTGATGCAGCTACTGATAATCTGATTCAGAGTACCCTTAGGGAGCACTTCTCTGACTGTACTGTCATAACAATTGCCCACCGGATAACTTCTGTTCTTTGACAGTGATATGGTTCTGCTTCTGAGTCATGGTTAGTATAATTTGTGCAATTCAATGGTTTGCTTGTAGGATTTGTTGGGAGTTCAACTCATTTAAAACTTTTTAACTGTTGCAGGACTTATCAGAGTATGATTCTCCAGCTAGATTGCTTGAAAACAAGTCTTCCTCTTTTGCATAGCTTGTAGCAGACTACGCTGGGAGATCAGATTTGAGTTTGAAGAAGCTTGACTGAATCAGATTATGGAAAAATAACCATTACATTTGATTTTCACTCTATCTTAACAAAAGATCAACAGGATGAGGCAAACTTAGTTGCTCAAACAGCAATCGGATGAATCTATCCTGGCAATTGCATTTTTAATATTTGCTGTCAGAGAAGATGGAGAGAGAATATTGGACCATGGGGCAGAAGCAACTGCTAGTCTGTCTTGTCTCAGCAAGGATGCAGATCTCCTAGGCAACACTCTCATCAGATAACTACTGTTCTTGATAGTTAAAGTTTGTTTTTGACTTCCATTGGTAAAAACAAAAACTTGGTTTCAGGATGTATGAAGGAATATGATTCTCCTGCAATGTTGATGAATGATCTGAGACCAAATATTGGTTCCAACAACTGAGGACCGGATAACCAGAAAAAACACTGTTCTTGATCCTATTATTCCTGAAGCTTGTTAATGTCACATGGTTTCCAGTACTTTCCATTTATATTTTGACAGGTCATTTGGTTGCATTCCCAAGCACTTTCATTTTCAAATAGTTGTTGTTGGAAACAGGGAATGGAAGAAAAAGAATACTGTATTCCTCCATTGCTACCAAAGCAAAGTTGCGTTTTTCAACTCTTCCAAGTTTCTTGTCAAAGGAGAGGATAATAATTTATTCACATTATGCTCTTGACTCTTTGATCCTGATGCATGGCTTTTTTTTTTTCTTTGTTTTTTCTGTTTGGTTGCTCAGAAAGGTACAAACCCACTTTCCACAAGAGATTGCAAATCTCATACTTTGGGAGTAAAAACAATAATTTATTTTGCATACCATCCATGGGTTTAGTTTGGTAGCATGTCTTCCAATTGAGTGAACCCGAACTAGTTGCTGACTTGAACCTATTTTTATATTTGCTGTTTTGCCCCTAGGAAGACAGATTCTGACAAACAGAATCCCCACATTTTCGTAGTGAGCACACCATTCGAAGAAAAAACTGTGTGCTTTAGTACGACGTCGTTTTCTTTGTCTTTTTGCTGTTTTTGGTCAGCTGGCGGAACGGAAGTCTCCGGTTTGGTTCAGCGCCACGTGTCAGGACAATGACGGTTGAAAATTCCAACGGTTTCTATTGGAGTTTCCCGGGGGTTTTTTTTTTTTTTGTTTTGTAAAAATTTACTATTGGTTGTTTGGGAAATTTTTTTGAAATTATTTTAAATAACAAAAAACCTTGAAACCCAAAATTATTTTTTAATTTAGGAGGAATATTTATATTTTTTCTCTATTTATTATTATAATAATTTGAGTTATTATCACATAACGAATGAAAATAATGTTTTGTTAAAAAGGGTCAATAATTTTTTTTTAATCAGAAGAAAGGGCTATTTACTTTAAAATAATAATAAAAGTGGATTTTTTATTTATTTCTAGAAATTATAAAAATAACAAAAAGTTAGCAACTTTGAGCCAGGTTCATAGGATCAGATTATTATAATCTTATAAAGATTGATAAATGAAAGAAAGATTAATTCTTGAATTAACAGAAGGGTTTCTTTCCATTTTTATCTTTGTTGAGAAAGCAAAAACTTGTTGTAAAAGTCTTCATCAGACATTTTTCCATTACAAAAGAAGTGTTTTTTATTTTATTTTATTTTTTGGGGCTCTTCTTTTTGGTTAAATTTCTAATATCCATCTCTACAGAGTCATCTCTCATGTTTTGTCTCTCTCGCTCTCACTCTCTCAAATGTCACGCATTTCCCGGAAAGCCTCCAACCTTCTGGTTTTTGGACCATCTTTTGAGGCTTCAGCCTCCCTTCCCCTTTGCTCTCTCCGTCTCTCTCAAGTCTTGCTCTCCACGCATATCCCTTCCCCAAGTAATCTTCCTAATTTGACTCTCTCCACTTATCGCCCACTTTTGACTGTAATACTCCTTTTTAAGTCTTGTTTATATATAAACTCAAAAACAGAAACTTTCAGTCACTTACACAAGCAAGTATCTTCTCCAACACTGAAAACCCAAGTTTTTTCTTCACTAAGAAGTCCAAAAGAATGAAACTTTTTGCGTCGGAATCACCTCTGCTAATGAGTTCAGCTTCTAGTTTTGATTTTCTCCTAAAACCGATGTTTCTTCACTGGTTTTCTGCTTCATTGCACCTAGTTTTATTGCTTCTCTTGCTTGCCTTATGGGTAGTGAACAGAGTTAAAGAAGCTGGTGGGGAAGGATCAAAGGAGAGGTTAAGGCAAAGGAAGGTTTTATGGTATAAGCAAACTTTAGCTTGTTGTTTTATTGTATCAGCTTTCAATATTGTCTTGTGTTTGTTAAGTTATTTTTATTGGTATAGAAATGGTTGGTCTGAGGATAAGTTAGTGTCTCTTTCTGATTATGTGGTAAAAACACTTGCTTGGGGTGCAATGTGTGTTTATTTGCATTTCTCCAATTCGTGTGAGCAAAAGAAGTTCCCATTGTTATTGAGAATTTGGTGGGGCTTGTATTTTTTAATTTCTTGTTATTGTCTTGTTGTAGACGTTGTTCTTTACAACAAACATGTTTCTTTCCCGAGTCAGGACTTAGTATCCGATGTTTTTTCTGTTATTACTGGTTTGTTCCTATGTATTGTGTGGTTTTTTGGACGAAATGAGGGTGAAGATATCCTCCTTGAGGAGCCCCTTTTGAATGGAGATTCTAGTGTAGGTAATGGTGTAGAGTTTAATAAGAAAAAAGGAGGTGATACTGTAACCCCATATTCAAATGCTGGTATTTTCAGCATTCTTACATTTTCTTGGATGGGGCCTCTTATTGCTGCTGGCAATAAAAAACCTTTAGACCTTGAGGATGTTCCTCAGCTAGATAGCAGTGATAGTGTTGTTGGGGCTTTTCCAAATTTTAGAAACAGGCTTGAGTCAGCTGACAGTGATGGGAGTGGAGTTACTGCGCTTAAGCTGGTGAAGGCACTGTTCTTCTCAGCTTGGAAAGATATTCTTTGGACAGCTTTTTTCGCGTTTACGTGCACTGTGGCTTCATATGTTGGCCCATATCTCATTGACACTTTTGTTCAGTACCTGAATGGGCAGCGTGAGTTTAAAAATGAGGGGTATCTTCTGGTTATTTCTTTTTTTGTGGCAAAGCTAGTAGAGTGCTTATCACAGAGGCACTGGTTTTTTAAGTTGCAGCAAGTAGGAATTAGGCTGAGAGCAGTACTGGTAGCGATGATTTATAACAAGGGTTTAACCCTTTCGTGCCATTCAAAGCAGAGCCACACCAGTGGGGAGATCATCAATTTCATGACTGTCGATGCAGAGAGGGTGGGTGAGTTTAGTTGGTACATGCATGATCCATGGATGGTAGCTTTGCAAGTTGCTTTGGCCTTGGTGATCTTGTATAAAAACCTTGGACTAGCATCCATTGCAGCTTTTGTTGCAACAGTGCTTGTTATGTTGGCAAATATTCCTCTGGGGAAAATGCTAGAGAAGTTTCAGGACAAGTTGATGGAATCAAAAGATAAAAGGATGAAGGCAACATCAGAAATTTTAAGAAATATGAGAATTCTCAAACTTCAAGGGTGGGAAATGAAGTTTTTGTCAAGGATTATTGAACTCAGGAATGTTGAGGAAGGATGGTTGAAAAGATTTGTTTATACAAATGCCATGACTAGTTTTGTTTTCTGGGTCGCACCATCGTTTGTGTCTGTGGCCACTTTTGGTGCTTGTATTTTTTTAGGAGTTCCACTTGAGTCAGGGAAGGTCCTATCTGCACTAGCAACATTCAGGATTCTTCAAGAGCCAATCTACAATCTTCCTGACACAATTTCAATGATAGCTCAGACAAAGGTGTCTCTTGATAGAATTGCTTCCTTCCTCCGCCTTGATGACTTGCAGACTGATGTTATAGAGAAGCTTCCAAGAGGTAGTTCTGATACTGCAATTGAGATCATTGATGGGAATTTCTCTTGGGATTTCTTTTCTTCTACTGCAACGTTAAAAGATATAAATTTGAAAGTTTGTCATGGTATGAGGGTTGCTGTTTGTGGTACAGTTGGTTCTGGCAAGTCGAGTTTGCTTTCCTGTATTTTAGGGGAATTACCCAAGTTATCTGGAACTCTAAAATTGTCTGGTACAAAGGCCTTTGTTGCTCAGTCACCTTGGATACAAAGTGGCAAGATTGAAGAGAACATTTTGTTTGGCAAGGAGATGGATAGGGAGAGGTATGACAAAGTGCTTGAAGCTTGTACCCTCAAGAAAGATCTTGAAATCCTCTCATTTGGTGATCAGACCGTTATAGGTGAGAGGGGAATAAATTTGAGCGGTGGGCAGAAGCAAAGAGTACAGATTGCACGTGCTTTATACCAAGATGCTGATATCTATCTCTTTGATGATCCATTCAGCGCTGTGGATGCTCACACAGGATCTCATTTATTTAAGGTAACATGTTTTCTTCTCTGATACTATTGCATGTAATTTAAAAGTTACTTTTAATCTATGCAGAAAGCTATACTGCTCTGTGTACAGTAATTAATTGAACTACTAACATTTGCAATTTTGTCAGCTGCTTAACTGACTTTCTTCTTCAGTTGGCGCTTTGCCTGAATAATTGTTTAATCTTTGAATGACAGGAAGTTTTACTAGGCATTTTGAGTTCAAAAACAGTGATTTATGTCACTCATCAAGTTGAGTTTTTACCAGCTGCTGATCTGATCTTGGTAAGCTATTTACGTTTTCAGAGATTTTCCTCCTATGCCTTGGAGGGTAGGCGATAATATAATTACTGGGTTCAAATTTTGCATTTTTGTTAGGTCATGAAAGATGGCAGGATTACACAAGCTGGAAAGTTTAACGACATTCTCAATTCAGGAACTGATTTTATGGAACTTGTGGGTGCACATAAGAAAGCTTTGTCAGCCCTTGATTCTGTTGATGCAGGATCTGTTTCTGAGAAAAATATCAGTGAAGGAGATGGTACTATGGGGTGTGCTAATGGGAAAGTGCAGGAAGAAGAAAACCAAAGTAATGAGAGTGGTAAAGTAGATGATGTCTGGCCAAAAGGTCAGCTTGTTCAAGAAGAAGAACGAGAAAAAGGAAAAGTTGGGTTTTCAGTCTACTGGAAGTATATCACAACAGCATATGCAGGAGCTCTTGTGCCGTTAATATTGCTGGCACAGATTCTCTTTCAGCTTTTTCAAATTGGTAGCAATTATTGGATGGCTTGGGCATCTCCTGCATCTGCGGATGTCAAACCTCCTGTCGGGAGCTTTACACTAATAATTGTCTATTTAGCTTTGGCCATTGCTAGTGCCTTTTCTGTCTTTGCCAGAGCCATGCTTCTTAATACAGCTGGATACAAAACAGCCACTCTTTTCTTCAAAAGGATGCATTCATGTATTTTCCGTGCTCCTATGTCATTCTTTGATGCCACACCAAGTGGAAGAATCCTAAACAGAGTTAGTATCTAATGTTTTCTTGTATGGATGTCAAACATTCCATTTATCTTATTTTTTTGGCATTCCTCCCTTGTTTCTAAAGGATTCTATTATTTTCCTGCCTCTTTTAGGCTTCGACAGATCAAAGTGAAGTGGATTTGAGCATTCCGTATCAAGTTGGTGCATTCGCCTTTTCAGTTATCCAGCTCCTTGGTATCATTGCAGTCATGTCTCAAGTTGCTTGGCAGATCTTTATCATTTTTATCCCTGTGGTTGCTACCTGTATTTGGTACCAGGTAATTCTTGTCACCTCATATAGTATGTTGTCTGTCAATTTGTGGCTATAGAATGCGTGACCTCATAGACTTGCAATACATATTGTAAATCTCAAAGTCGTTTGAGAAAACATTCAACCTTGCATAATACTTGGACATAGGAATTCTCATAAACTTGTAATCTTGCAGCAATATTACATATCTTCTGCACGAGAACTTGCACGATTGGTTGGAGTATGCAAAGCTCCAGTGATACAGCATTTTGGTGAAACAATTTTAGGAGCAACAACCATCAGGAGCTTTGATCAAGAATCAAGATTCCAAAAGGCAAACATGATATTAATGGATGCATTTTCTCGTCCAAAATTTCATGTTGCTGGTGCAATGGAATGGCTGTGCTTCCGCCTGGACATGTTGTCTTCTATTACTTTTGCCTTCTCTTTGTTCTTTTTGATCTCTATACCAGAGGGAATTATTGATCCAGGTAAGTGATTGTAGATTGGAATCTTTATTGACTACCATGTCATTGTAGATAACAGATGTTAAAGGAGAATGACTGAAAGTGTTTTCTTTTATTTAGCCATTGCGGGTTTAGCTGTGACGTATGGACTCAATCTAAATATATTGCAAGCTTGGGTAGTATGGAATATTTGCAATATGGAGAATAAAATTATATCTGTTGAGAGACTGCTTCAATACAGTGGTATTCCTAGTGAGCCCGCCCTTGTGATAGAAACTAATCGCCTGGACCGTTCTTGGCCACCTTGTGGAGAAGTTAATATTCATGATCTGCAGGTAATGCAGTTATGCCTTGTATATGACTGTTAAGTTGTTATGTGTTGTTTTTGAAATAAATGATGATCTTTGATGTAGGTGCAGTATGCTCCACACATGCCACTGGTCTTGCGAGGTGTGACATGCTCATTTCCAGGAGGGTTGAAAACTGGCATTGTAGGGAGAACAGGGAGTGGTAAAACAACTCTCATACAAACACTTTTCCGCATAGTGGAACCTGCAGCAGGCCAGATTATAATTGATGGTGTTAATATCTCGTCAATTGGACTGCATGATTTGCGGTCTAGACTCAGCATCATCCCTCAGGATCCTACCATGTTTGAAGGGACTATACGGAGTAATTTGGATCCTCTTGAAGAGTACTCAGACGAACAGATTTGGGAGGTGGGTTCATTTCATTTTGATTACGAGTGAAAAGCTTTTCTAGTCTGTACCATTTATTTTCTAATAAAATGCTGTCTTCATGATTGGTATTTGAAGTCTGATATGTGTTAATGTATGTTCTGATTTTTTAAGGCATTGGATAAGTGCCAACTTGGGGATGGAGTTAGAAAGAAGGAAGGTGGGCTTGATTCTTCAGGTCTGATCTTCTATCATATAACAAACAAGTCGGATGTCATGCAAGTTGTTTAAAATCTACTACTAAATTCAACTATTTAAAGAAATTTTGAAGTATTATAACATTGCTTCTGCAGTTACTGAGAATGGAGAGAATTGGAGCATGGGACAGAGGCAGCTGGTCTGTCTTGGGCGTGTGCTGCTCAAGAAAAGTAAGATCCTAGTGCTTGATGAAGCTACGGCATCAGTTGATACAGCTACCGATAATCTGATTCAGACAACCTTAAGGGAGCACTTTTCTGACTGTACAGTCATAACAATTGCACACCGGATCACTTCTGTTCTTGACAGTGATCTGGTTCTGCTTCTAAGTCACGGTTAGTACGGTTGTGTTATCTATCATTTGCTTGTAGGATTCTTTGAACTTCATTTCGTTTAAACCTTTTTCTAACTGTTGCAGGACTTGTCGAAGAATATGATTCTCCTGCTAGATTGCTGGAAAACAAGTCTTCATCTTTCTCACAGCTTGTAGCCGAGTATACTGTGAGATCAAATTCAAGTCTGGAGAAGTTCGACTGAACTAGATGATCACGAAAAATATATGTTTGTTACTCATTGGGAATGTTTTGTACAAGACAAGCCTAGTAGTTTTCTTAGCTTCAATAAACACTAGTTATATATTTTCCTTTTCTCTCTTCTTTCAGCCTGCCATTATTAAGTTACAAAGAGATATTTCATAATGGGATCAAGCAGAAGAATCATCTTACAGAATAGTCAATGCCCAACATTTGACAGATTTTATGGAAGAAAAACTGAGGATTGAAACAGATATCTGCTCATATTGTTCTTGAAAAGTTTTAAACAAGTGGCACAAAGCTTACTTTAAAGAGCATTGGAATCCAGCAAATTTGACACTTACTTGAAGGTCCAACATTAGGCATGGAATGGAATTGACATATAATTTTGTGGGTATTATAAGTTATTTTATAAAAATACAAGCAACATCTGTCACATGATATTATCAATCTCGTACATTTTTTTTTCTTCAAGGTCAAGTTAATTGTTTTAGTTGATAATTCGTCCTACTTTTGTTTATTATATTGATATAGTAGTCATTTTTATGTATCAAAAATTAAAACATATGTTTAAACAGATTCACTTAGAACATAACACTTATTACATCCAATACTTAAATTATTGACATAATTGCTTACATCACTATGCTTACATCACTATTAATATAAATCATGCATCGGGAAGAATTTTTAGGACATATGTTAGGACTACTAGACACCAACAAAATTAATGTAAAAAATTGTCAAAATCACGTGCGAAGGAAAAAAAATTATTAATGTAAAGTCAACAATTGGCTGGTGGACCCTCACACGTCCATTAATGGGGCCCATTTCAAAAAGAGAGTGTCCAAATTAGTATCCCCAAGTTTTCGTGGTGAGCAATGAATGAGCATACGAGTCGAAGCAAAACTGTGGAGCTTCAGTACGGCGCCGTTTCTATTCCCCCTTTCCGGTTTTGGTCAGACGGGCGGGATTTGAATCTTCGGTTTGGTCCACCACCAGGTGTCAGGACAATGACGGTTGAAACTTCCAACGGTTTTTCGTTAGAGTTTCCCGGGTTTTTTTGGTTCCCACTAATTTACTATTTTGTGGTTTGAGAAATATTTTAAAATTATTTTGAATTTATTTATAATAAATAAAAAAAAATAGATACCCACAATTATTATTATTTGAATTATTTTCAAATTAACCAATGAATATTAATATTTTTTTAATGAGAACAAGGGTAATTAAGTTTAAAATAATAATAAAAGAAACTTTTTTATTTACTTTTAAAATTTATTTTTATTTTGAATTTAAAAAAATTTAAATTTTACCACCATTAACTAATCAATAAATTAAATATTTAAATATTAATTTTAAAAACTATTTAAAATAATAAAAAATTAATATCTTTTTAAGTAATCATAAAATCAGATTATGATAATCTTTTTGATAAATAAAAGAAATATTAATTCTTGAATTAAAAAAAGGTTTTATTTCTTTATCGGTGATGCAAGAGTTCTTGTAAAAATTTCATTAGACAATTTTGCCTTACAAAAGAAGTGTTTTTTTTTTGGCCTTTTTTTGGGTTGAATTTCTTATTTCCCTCTCTACAAAGTTACTCTCCGTCTATATTTCTATCTTATGTTTTGTCTTTCTGTCTGTCAAAGCACACACCTTTCCCGGAAAGCCTCCAAGCTTTTTGTTTTTTCGGGCCTTTTTTTGAGGTTTAAGCCTCCCTTCTTCTTTGTTCTCTCCGTCTCTCAGGTCTTGGTCTCCACGCATATCCCTTCCCCAAGTAATCTTTTTTTGACTTTGTGCTTTTGAGTCCCTATCTTGACTTTAACGCTCCTTTTAAGGCTCCTTTATAAGTAAACTCAAAAACAGAAACTTTCAGACACTTAATGAAGCAAAAGTCTTCTCCAAGGCTGAAAACCCAAGTTTTTTCTTCAGTACAAAGTCCAAAAAGAATGAAATTTTTTGCTTCAGAATCATCTTTGCTAATGAGTTCAGCTTCTAGTTTTGATTTTCTACTAAAACCCATGTTCCTTCATGGGTTTTCTGCTTCATTGCACCTAGTTTTATTGCTTTTCTTGCTGGTCTTATGGGTAGTGAACAGAGTTAAAGAATCTGGTGGGGAAGGATCAAAGGAGAGGTTAAGGCAAAGGAAGGTTTTATGGGGTAGGGAGAACAGGGAGTGGTAAAACAACTCTCATACAAACACTTTTCCGCATAGTGGAACCTGCGCAGGCAGATATAATTGATGTGTTAATATCTCGTCAATTGGACTGCATGATTTGCGGTCAGACTCAGCATCATCCCTCAGGACCTACCATGTTTGAGGGACTTACGGAGTAATTTGGATCCTCTTGAAGAGTACCAGACGAACAGATTTGGGAGGTGGGTTCATTTCATTTGATTACGAGTGAAAAGCTTTTCTAGTCTGTACCAGTTTTTTCTAATAAAATGCTGCTTTCTGATTGGTATTTGAAGTCTGATATGTGTAATGTATGTTGATTTTTTAAGGCATTGGATAAGTGCAACTTGGGGATGGAGTTAGAAAGAAGGAAGGGGGCTTGATTCTTCAGGTCTGATTTCTATCATATAACAAACAAAAGTCGGATGTCATCAAGTTGTTTAAACTACTACTAAATTCAACTATTTAAAGAAATTTTAAGTATTATAACATGCTTCTGCAGTTACGGAGAATGGAGAGAATTGGAGCTGGGACAGAGGCAGCTGGTCTGTCTGGGCGTGTGCTGCTCAAGAAAAGTAAGATCTAGTGCTTGATGAAGCTACGGCATCAGTTGATACAGCTAACGTGCTTTATACCAAGATGCTGATATCTATCTCTTTGATGATCCATTCAGTGCTGTGGATGCTCACACAGGATCTCATTTATTTAAGGTAACATTTTTCTACTCTGATACTATGGCATGTGTCTTTCAAGTTACTTTTAGACTATGCAGAAAGGTATACTGCTCTATGTGAGGTTAATTAATTGAAACACTAATATTTTCATTTTTGTCAGCTTGCTATTTGTGCTTTGCCCTTTTATTTTTGAGCTTACTTCTTCAGTTGGTGCTTTGCCTGAGGATCTCTGTTTGATCTTTGAATGACAGGAAGTTTTACTTGGCATTTTGAGTTCAAAAACAGTGATTTA